AGAGAGAGAGACAGAGAGACAGAAGAAAGCAGTAGATGTTTTCCATAAATGAAAAGTATGCCATTTTCTGTATATCTCAGCTTAAAAGGCATCAGTTATTTGGTCCAAAGGAAAAACCAAGACGGTGGACAAGGCATAGCCACTTGCTCAGAACTAGCTATGTAGCCCAGGCTGGCCTCAAACTCATGACATCCTGCTGCTTCAGGATACTAGGATTACAGGAGTGTGGCACCACATCTGGCAAGAATTTTTGCTTTTATTTGTTAGTTTGAGACAGGGACTGAACAACATGCAGTCCAGGCCCCCAGACAGGGAAATCTAGGTGTCTACAGCCAAATAATGGCACGTTTGGATGCCCAGAATAAAAGAAAATCTGAAGAGGACTCAAAGGGACAACAACAGCAGGAGAGATTTTGGGGCTGTTGGCTACTCAGGGAAGGGATCAGAAGACACACCGGGCATAAAGACATGCTGTGATGGCCTAACCTAGCCCATTCATTGCTTCAAACATGCTGTCCCAAGGGACCTGAAAGACTGTATTCTCAGAGATGCCAAGACCCACTTGTGTTGAGGCTGGAGAGACAGCCTGGTCGCTGGCAGCACAGGCTGCTCTTTCAGAGGACTAGAGTTTGGTTCCCAGCAACTGCAAACACAACGGACTCCAGCTCCAGGGGGTCTGACACCCTCCTCTGGCCTCTGTGGGCGCCTGTTTGCACATGCGTGTGTGCTTACACACATGTTCGCATTAATAACAAAGAAATATTTTAGAGATAGCTTGGGGCGTAGGCCAATGGTAGGCATGCCAAGCACACACAAGGCCCTTCTTAACCACAGCACCAAAGAGAGAAGGGAAAGGGGCCGAGGAGAGCCTGAGCGCAACTCACTTCCAAATGCTCTGTGATAAGTAAGGAGAATTTTTTCTTTTCTTTTTTTTTAAAGATATATTTTATGTGTACGTAATTTGCATGCATGTACGGTGACCTAGTTGGCTGGGGGAGGGGCAGGGGTCAGAAGGGACCATCAAAGCCGCTGGAAATGGAGTTGCATATGGTTGCGAGCCACTGCGTGGACGCTGGGAACTGAACTTGAGCTGTTTGGGGGAGCAACAATTGCTCTCACCCGCAGAGTGAGCCATCTCTCCAGCCCAGACATTCTCTTCTCCTGAGACGGGGTCTTGGTTTACAACCCCAGGCTATACTGGTATATGTGCTACATGGACCAGGCTAGCCTCCAACTTGTGATGCCCCTCGCTTCGCATGTGCCACAGAGCCTGGCTCCTGAGCAGGCAGCTTAGTCCTGCTGCTCCCATCACAGACTGGCACACCAAGAGAGCTCGTGTTTGTACACGTGAGTCCTGCTCCTTCGCTCTCCCTGACCTCTGATGCAGTCTCCGGTCTACTCACACCTCTCCGAACGTCACAGGGCAAGAATGTAGAAAGAATTCCGGCATAAGCATTTACTTCGTTGTGTAGACAGGGTCTCATATAGCCCAGGCCGGCCTTAAACTCACTCTCCGGCTACGACCTCCCAAGGGCTGGGTTTGTCTGCAGCCATGCCTCACTGCGCCCAGTCCTTTTGTTTTTGTCTTTGAGATGTGTGGGCAAAATAGCATCAGTGACTTCATTGTACTTAGTTGTACTTGGCCTCATGACCACAGGTGCCCAGGCATTTTGCTTCTGCATTCTGTCTATCTACTAAGTCACCTGAATATCAGTTATCCCATAGGCCTCTTGGCCAGGTCAGGAAGGATCACAGGTGTGGAACGGGAGAATTCCTGCTTTCCTGGCTCATTATGTCTAACCGGCTCCTCATAGACAGAGGAGGTCCACCTTGAATACACACAGCTCTGCTGGCATTGTAGGATTTCTCACGGGCTTATCATCAACTTTTAATTTTAGATTTTTTTTCTTATTTACTTTTGAGACATAGTCTTGTTATGTAGCCCAAGTTGGTCCAGAATTTGTTATGTAAACCAGGTTAGTCTAAAAATCATGACAGTTGATGGCCAAGCACAGGGGTATGGGGGATGTCTCTAATTCCAGCACTCGGGAGGCAGAAGCAAGAGGATCTCTGTGAGTTCAAGGTTAGCCTGGTTGGATCGGTGAGCTCCAGAACATGTAGGACTACATAGAGAGACCCTGCCTCAAAACACAACAAAGTAATAATGTTAGTTCCCCTGCTCCGGACTTCCACGTGCTGGAATTACAGGTGTGCCCCACCATACCCAGTTATTATTTTAAATTGTGTCTGTGTGTGTTCAAGTAAGTGGAGGTCAAAGGTCAACTTTCAGGAAATCATTCTTTCTTCCCACCATGTATGTTTTCAGGATCAAACTCAGGTTGTCAGGTTTGGTAGCAAGTGCCTTAACCCACAAACCATCTCAACGGCCCTATTCATTCCTAATACCTCAACATTTCATTGATGTCTTCTCCAGAGTTTATAAACAAACAAACAAACAAACAAACAAACACAAAGACTTAAAATGAAATGAAATCTAGTCCAAGCTTCCACAAGGCCCATGCAAAACCCACTCTTCCTTTCCAGTTTCTGCTCACACTTCCTACCTGCCTTAGACACTGGCTGTGCTTGCCAGCCTCAGGGCGACTGCTGACTCATGCTTACTCTGGGCTCCTGAGACCCCTTGTCATCTGTGTCCCGGCCCTCCTTCCTGCTCTCCTGCCACTCCCGTACTGTCTCCCTCCTTGACCTTACCCACCTGTCCCTGAGCCCACCTGGAACACGTCGTTGGCACACTTGCGGCACAGGTTGTGCTGACAGGGCAGGATCACCACGGGCTTGGAGAACATCTCCAGGCAGATGGGGCAGATGAGCTGCTTCTCCAGGTTGTCCATGTTGTGTGCATCCCCTAGCAGCGGCTTGAAACCCACGGAGAAGTTCATCCCTCCAGCTCTGGTGCCTGCCTTGCTGTGGCCCTGCTCCCGGCCTTCCCTCACTGCCTGTTCGCGCTTCCTCCTAGCTTCACGCTGTCTGTGGATTCTTGAGATCCCTGCTGTTGCTCCCTCTTCAAAGTGTGACGTTCCCTGTCCCCTTCCTGTGACAGCTCCTCTCACGCCTGGCTATTTCCAGACACTCTGTCTACACTCTTTGCTCGGAACCCTCACCAGGCACTTGTAGCTTTATCTCTCCCTGTGAAATTCTCTTGCTCCCTCAAACCACTCTCTGGTTCACTCTTCCGGGCAGTACTGTTTGTCCCTTCCTCCCTAGAGAGATTAATATTACTGTGGGGGTAGGGAGACAAGGGACATCTGTGTGACATTCCAGCTCCCAATTTAGCTCATGTAAGGCGAGCCACAGCTGTCCCGGACTGAGTGACCCTGAGTCACTCAGGAATGGGTGGCCAGCGAAGATGTGGGGTTCACTTGCTGTAACTAGGAAGCTCCCATGAACACTGGTCTCCAAGTTCTGGCTTGGGACTTTCTTCCCAACAGAAACACAGTTTAAACTAGCCTGTGGGAGAGGTGGTGCACGTGGCTCGGTGAGAGGTAAGGTCTGGGCAGATCTAAACAGTGTCATCCCTTCCTCCACAAGCTTAGCCGGTGACCCTGGCCCCCCGCCTGGAGACTGCAGGATTCAGAAGTGGAACGCCAGACCATAGAGAGAGAATTTCTTGTCCCATATATCTGCCCCATTATTTGTTCTTGCTCAGCCTTAAGGAACACCCCTTAAGGGGTGGGTGTGACATGGAGCCCGAGTGGAGGTCACAGGACAGCTGACAGGAGTCCATTCTTTTTCTCCTGCATGTGGGTTCCAGAAATCGAACTCAGATCATCAGAATTGGTGACAAGAACCATACCCCACTGAGCAGCCTCACCATATAATTCCCTCTCCCTTATCAAGGACAGGCTCTCACGTAGGCCAGAAATTCACCATCGCCAGCGATGACCTTGAACTACTGAGCCCCTTGCCTCTATATCCAATGCACTGGGATTAGGGAAAAGTGTCATCATTCCCAGTTTATGTGGTGCTGGAGGTCAACCCAGGCCTCACGAATGCTGGAGAAGCACTCTACTACCGAACTACATCACCAGCCCTTGGCTAGCCCTTGTTACATCACGCAGAGAGAGCTTCAAAAGGCAAGAGATGGTTTTTGTGCCAGGCAGAGACCTGCCTTATGATTATGACACCAGAGTGTGTGATTCTGGTCCACAACTACATTGGTAAATCCGTTGCAAGGATGCTAAATTTGCTTAGAAACAGACTGGAGATGTCTCAGTGGTTGAGAGGGCCGACTGCTCAGTCATGAGGACTGGCGTTCAGATCCCAGAACATACATCCATCTGTAATCCCATCTCCAAGAGACTCAGCACTCTCCACAGGCACACACAGACATGTGCAAAATGAAAAAAGGGGTGGCAGGCATGGTGATACATGCTTTTAATCCCAGCACTCAAGAGACAGAGGCACTGACTACCCTGGTCTACAAAGACAGTCCAGGACAGCCAGCGCTAGAGGAAAAGAGGAGGGAGGGAGGGAGAGAGAGAAAGAAAGAGATAGAAACAGAGAGAGGTGAGAAACAGGTCTAGCTAGAAAAAAATCCACATGTCTTAAATGTATATTGGACACCAGTGAATCAGACTTGAGAGAAATCTTGGGGCACTGACAAAGTCACCACCACTGGGCTCTGGGCATCTTTGTCCCCCACTCCACAGTGACCCATCGACTCTACTGGCCATGCAGGCCTCATCCCAGACATGAGCAATAGTCACTGATCTTTTTCTCTGTCCCACACAGAACTTGTCCTTTGGGTTCCAACACACACTGGAACTGGACAAACCTTCATTATTGACATTCTTTAGCCCTTCTCCTAGTGAGGGCTAAGAGGTTTGAGGCTTCCTAGGCCCACACAGGTAAGGAAGAAATGGTAAAGAGGATATAGACAGGATGCCAAGCCAACAGTAGCTCAAAGAGGCTAGGTGAACTCTTCAGCATACAGTACACACTGTGCACACGGCATCTCATGCCCCTGTGCTAAGAGCAAGTTATATGGGGTCGGCAGGATGGAGGCGGCAGGCACTACAGTATGGGCTGCAGCCTGTCCACGGGCCCACGGCTGAGAGCGTGTACAGGGCTGGAGCCTAAGGGGAAGCCACAGACCTCAAATGCACTCACATCCCCACACTGTCTTATGAATGGCGTGTCCGTGCCAATGCTGTGGGGACCAACTTCCCAACGGCGTGCTGCTAAGAAATGAGGCCGACACTAGTTCATTGTACACAAAGTTGCAATGAAGGAGAAGTAAGTGGTCCAGTAGCTCTAAGGATGGGAGCCACCTTGCTTGGCGACCAGGATCTTGGCGAGGTTATCACTATGCGCTCAGGAACCTGCCTGACCTTGACAAGTGCCCACTGGACAATTGCCACTATGGCTTGAGAACTCATGTGGATAAGGTGAGCTAAAAAGAAGAGCGTTTGGAAGGTTCTGTGGGGATGGGCTCGTTGGCACCATAGAGGGCAAAGATGTCACTCCTAGGATGGATGCAGGGATTGTTTTTAAGAACCAGAATCCAATCAGAGTCAATGTCAGGGCAGGGCTACTTGCTCCTCTCTTCAATGTGTCCAATGGGCTGAATAGCAGGGCATGCTCACCGGGCCAGCACCTAACGGTAGGAAGCATTGGGACCTTATTAGGAATATCCACCAATAACTGAAAACGTACCCCAGAAGCAGCTGTGGTTGATGCCATGAGAGTACAGACCCATCTGAAGTACTATCTATGCTTTAAATGTGTATGTACACGCATGTAATATGTACATATTGCATGTATAATATATGTGTATTGTAGGTAATATATGTGTGTGTGAGTGCATGTGTGCACCAAATCAGAGGACAATCTGCAGGAGTCAGTTCTACCACTTCACCAGGTGGGTCCCAGAGGTCCGGCTCAGGTAGTCAGCCCTGGTGGGAATCCCCTTTACGAGCTGTGCCAGCTCACTGGCTTCTCCTAGCCTTTAACCATGGCTGCGTCTCCATATACATACCTCATTCCTTTCCACCTTTCCTCAATAACTGTCTTCATCTTCCAGTTTAGTTCGACGTTGTCCTCCTGGGGTAGAATTAGGACAAGCTAACAAACCTCCAGTAACACCGGTTTACAGTTTTTAGGCTTCAGGTGAGAAAACCCCTTACCCTCCAAGTTACTCATCAGCACCACCAGATGGCACTGGTGTGGACCTCAGCCAACACCCCGTTTTTAAAGTTTTAACTGTGTGGGGTGAGGAACAATCTAAAGCAACTCATCCCTCCCGCTCCCCTCCTCCCCCATCAAGGCTGGGGATGGAATCCAAGGCCTTCCGTGAGGTAGGCAAGCACTCAAGTGTAGCTCCTCCTTCTTTTTGCAAATGAGCTGCATCTGCAAACTTGTCTTCAGCTATTTCCTTTTCAAGGCTTCTTTCCCCAGTTCCTCACCAGGAAAAGCCCACACTACAGTGTAAGAAACATCAGTTACCTTCTCAGCCTCTCTTCTCCCCAATGAAAGACTTTGAACTATTCACATTTCGGGGTTATCTGCTTGTTCCAGGGGTCTTTCTCACAGGCCCCTTCCTCTGCTCTACCTTACCATTCCTGACTGGGCCCTGACCCCACTCCCCCTGCCTCCACTCCTCACCTACTCTTGTAGGCTGAGAATGGACAGAATGGACATTCGTTTGTTGATTCTTGGAAACTTCCTGCTGCTTCCTGACAGTTTCCTCAGGCGGTGGAGCTAGGCTGCCACAGCAGAAACAGCAGCAGCAGCAGCAGAAGCAACAAGTCAGCAGGCAACAAAGGATGACAAGTGTCTACAAGACAGGAGAGAGGCCTTGGTCCCCCTGTGCTTTTTGTAGTGCCATGCAGGTCCCCTCCCTTTGTCCTCCTCACACCCAGAAAGCACAAAGAGAAGCGCTAGTCTTGAGAAGAGGGGCAGCCTCTCTTCCTTACTCTTATGATGCAGACAGTGTCTTATCACATAGCCCAGGCTACCCGGCTTAGAGGTGTGTGCCACCGCAGCTAGCTTGATTTACTTCACGCGTATGTGTGCACATCTGGGCACCATGTGCTTGCCTGGTGCCCGCAGAAGCCAGAAGAAGGCTCTGGATCCCCTGGGACTGGAGTTACAGACGGTTGTGAGCTGCCATGGGGGTTCGGGAGTCAAACCCAGCAAATGCTCCCAACTGCAGAGCCAGCCCTCCAACCCCTCTAACTCCTTCCTTACTGTTGAAGGAATGGGAAGCATGCTGTACCTTGAACCAGCAACTGTTCCCTATATAATAGTATCTGACGCCGTCTTCACCCAAGTGGTCAAACAGGTATAGTCCTAGTGAGCCATGCTGGTCATAGATTTTCTTCTTTGTGGGGTCACTGAGTACAGCATGGGCTGTGTTGATCTCTTTGAAGAATTCTGCTGCTTGAGGGTCCCCTGGATTCTTGTCCGGATGATACTGCAAGGCCAGTTTCCTATCCAGGCAATAACCAAAAGGACAGTGGGGAGAGGTACAGGAAGCTGCTGAGAAGGGAGAGTTAGGATGAAGTGCAGGTCTAAATCTTTAGATAATGCAAGGAATACAGGAGATAGGCCACCAAGGATGGAGTGAAGGTCTGCATTTCTTCTCATGACACACTGAAAAAGGGAGTGGCCTCCTTTGGCCCCCAAATAAAAGCTTCTTGGGATTAAAAAAAAAAAAAGAGGGTCTGGATATGGGAAAGGTATTGGGGGGAAATACCAGGGTTGGATAAAGGGTGGGGGTCTTAACCTGTAGGCTTTTTTGATCTCTTCAGGCTGGGCACCCTTCTTTAGTTCCAGCACTGCATAGAGGCTTGTCCCAGTCTGTGATAGCTGCTGGGTTGCATCATTGGCAGGAGGCATGCTCTGGGCAAAAGGATAAAAAGTCAAGACAGTAGCCTCCGGCTACTGTGACTTGAATCAGAAGAACGCAGAAGAACGTAAATGTCAAAGAGGATACATGTTCTCTTCACATTTCCCAGTGTCCTCCGTGTTCCTCACAGTCCAGAGAGGCCTAACAAGGAGAGGTAGGTCTAAGCGGAGGAAGAGCCCTACCTCGTCCGAAGCTCCTATACCTGAGGTAAACAGCCCTACACCTGCCCACTGTAGTGGCTGGGTTTGAGAGACCAGGGTAACCCAGCCACTACATTGATTGGATCAGAAATTGAGAACTAGCCAGACCAAAGCCAACTGCAGGAGGAGGTCAGGTTCAAGACCGCAACAGGGCCTGGACTCGCTTTCCCTCAGCCTCAAGCCCACAGAGGTGAGAGCAGGATGACTCCCTGGATAGAGGGAAGCCAAAAGGAGCTGTTGCCTGGGACACACACCCTGAGAGCGAGCCAGAGCAGAGAACAGGGCTGAGGCCTGGGAGGGCCACGGGGACCAAGACAACACACGGGAGCCCCGGGTGCGCTGCGAAAACCCAGCTTTGTGTCGACTCTCGACATGGCTCTTTACCTCAGAATTGGTCTACAAAGCCACGCAGGCCTCACAGCAGCTTCCTTCCTCCTGGTGGAGGTGAAGCTTCATATTGCCTCTAGGTCTATGGCCAACTGAGCTTGCGCACTTCGTAGAGGAAGTCGTTTTTTGGCGCCGCCAGCAGGACCGCGTACGGAACCCATATTGAGCCCGGGACTTATGTCGCTCCAGAAGCCTGACCCTCAGTTCCCAGGGCTGAGCGTTACTTCCAGCCCCTGGGGCCGAGGCACAGCCTTCTACATCATCCCCTCTTCTCCAGGAAGAGGCCATGACCATCCGGATCACCATCATGGCTCTTCAACTCACTCATGGAAAACCCGTGGGCTTGGTGGCCTGGCGGATGAGAGGTATGGCAGAGATTACCTTTCCAGACTTCCTCAGAATCTTCACTTGGTCCTTTTTATTTCCCTTCCATCTAGAAACTTCTCCACAGACGTTGAGACTCACCTCAAACATCAGTGTTCCGGAAAATCTGGCTTTCAGCCCTCAGGTATCCCCTGTTAGGGCATTTATCGCATTAGATTGTACCAGTTCGTTGGTACATCCCTTAAAAATGGCATTTTTGAGCCTTTCCAAGGCCGCTTCACTACTGTGCCTCCATAATAAGGAGATACCATAATATAATCATACAGTCTAGATTGTATATTGAGTTGTTTATAACCGCTTGATGGTATATTAACCTTTTTCATCGAAATGCTTAGAGACATCCTTGAACACATTTGTGATTTTTTGTGTAAGAGCTGAATAATGGGAATGGAGCTATTGTGTCAAATTGAAGGAAAAAAAACCTCATTTATGTGGTGTGTGTGTGTTTTGTGTGTTTGTGTTGTGTGTGTGTGTGTGTGTGTGTGTGTGTGTGCATGTGTGCGCATGTGTGTGGTGACCGGCATGTCGAGATCAGAGGATGACTTGTAAGAGTCCTTCCTTTATGCAGGTCCCAGGGATTGAACTCATGTGACCATGCTTGGTGACAGGCACCTTCACCCAATGAGCCATCCAACTGGCCCTGAACATACACATTTTAAACTCTTCCAACTCACCCCCTCCCATTTGAAAAGTTTTATTTATTTTATGTGTGTGAGTGCTTTTCCTGCTTGTGTCTGTGTACCAAGTGCTTGCTTGGTGCCTGAGGAAGTCATAAGAGAGTGTCTGATTTGGAATTGGAATTACAGAGGGTTGTAAGCCACCATAGGGGTGCTGGGAACTGAAGCTAGATCCTCTTCAAGAACAAGAAGTGCAGCTGGGCATAGAGGCACACGCCTTTAGTACTAGCACTTGGGAAGCAGAGGCTGACAGATCTCCATGAGTGTGAGGCCAGCATGGTCTACATAGTGAGTTCCAGGACAGCCAAAGCTACACAGTGAGTCCCTGTCTCGGAAAAACAGAGCAACAAAACCAAAATAATAACAAGTAGAAAAAGAAGGAAAGGAAGGAAGGAAGGAAGGAAGGAAGGAAGGAAGGAAGGAAGGAAGGAAGGAAGGAAGGAATCTCAACCAGCCAGCCAAACAAACAAAATCCAAGTGCTTACATGCCGTGAGGTGTATGAGGAGGCCAGTTCTCAGATGTCATCAGTTCCCTCTTTTCACCTTTTATGGCTTCTGAGGATTGAACTCAGGCTATCGGGCTTCCCCCCGCCCCCACCAGCAAGTGTTTTTACCCACTGTGTTAGCTTGCTGGCCCCAGACTGAGTGTTTTTGAAGCTCTTGGTCCATACTGTTAACTTTCTTACCAGAGAGGTTCGAAAGGTACCATCTTCCAGCCCCACTGCAGACATGCGAGGAGACATTGGCTTCCACCTGCAGACCCCTTGTTACCCCTCCCAGGAGGCAGCATTTGTGGTGCTGGCTTCCTCTGCAGAGGAGAGTTCTCAGTGCCTTCTGGAACTCGGGAACAGGATGAGCTCTCTTACTTCAGTAATCCCTGTCGTCACCCCTTGGGTAGCTTTTACTCTTTATTGCAGCTATTCCTACAGTTTCACTTTCTCTCCTGGGTTTGAAGTGCTGGGTCAGTATTCCAAATGGGAGTCTCTCTCATAAAAAGCACACTTGCCAAGCCCACGGGGTTGGGTTAGATGAGTTTTGAGGTTACCCAACCAAGCAGGAGGGGATGAACCGCTCACATGCTTGTGTGTGATTTTTCTGACCTCGATTTTCAACAGCACCAAGGGTCAAAAGATCCAGCGGGACAAAGCCCCTCATTTCTGAACTGCAGGGGAGGGAGAGCAGTAGGCACAGGGCAGAGTGCCCTTACGGTGGATTCCTTACCTCGGTCTCCCAGGCCAGTGTGGCTCTGCCCCTGCCTCTTCCTCTAGTATCATGGAGAGCCATCTTACTGCTTGCTCAGGGGTTTGCCTTGCTTCTTTCCTGTCACTTCTTTGAGGAATCTGTTTCCTTTGACCGGGTGCTTTTTCTGCCTGGAGGGGTTCCTTGTTAGGCTTTTCAAGTGTTTGACAGCTCATCCTCAAAGCTCTCAGGTACATGCTTCCTCAGACAGGCTGTTTGGCTGTTTGTTTGTCTTTTGGTTCTGTTTTCTTCAAGACAGGGTTTCTCTGTGTAGCCTTGGCTATGCTTTGTAAACCAGGTTGGCCTAGAACTCACAGAGATCCCCCTGCCTCTGCCTCCGTAGTGCTGGGATTATAGGTGTGTACCACCACACCTGGCTTCAGACAGGCTTTTAAATTGGGTTCTCCTCCTCTCTTCCTACTCCATAACCTTACCATAATTTGTGTGTGTTTGTCATTATTTTCCTATTAATTTAATGTTTGACTTTCTCAGTTGACAATGCCCACGAGGGCCAGGACTGTGTTGGTTTGTATCTCCAGCACCTACAGCTATGCCTGGCTCATAGTAAGCGAATTAATGATTTGTTGAATGAGCTAAAGCTGAAGGATCCCCCTCCCAATGGAATGTAAGCTTAGAGATTGGCCAGCAAAAATTCCCTAAGATAGATGACTGAGTATCTTTCCTCATAGGGTTCTAGAGGCAAAGAGCCTAACAGAAAAGGGGAGGACAGATAATCCTGAGCTCTTTATTCCTTTGTCTTAGCATTCCTCCAGCTCTTAATACAGCTGCTGGGATACTGGAGGTGGTCCATGAACGCTGGCTGGTTGAATGAGAGAGCACTTGTACTGAGCTATCTCTGACCCCCGCCACACTCCTGATGGATGGGTTGATCACATCCCTGCTTTGCAGAGTGCACCCTGGGAAAGCCTGGGGAAACATCCTTTGAGTCTTGCCGGAGGCCCCTGAGTGTGGTTAGTTCTTATCCATGCTCTCCGACACTCTAGTTCGTCCAAGTTTGTGGCTCTGCATTGAAGAGATGCCGCAGCCCTGCAGCGGGACAGAGCAGGCAAGAAGGCCTGGCGTGCTGTGACCTGAGGCTGCTATGCTCAGCTTTCCAGGAACCACAGGCCTTGTGATGGTTTCTCATGGGCAGGCTCCCATCTCACTCCCGTCACTGTAGTGGGACGAGGGTGCAAGGCAGGTGCTGGGTCTCCATCTCAGCTCTGGTTCTAACAAGCTATGTGGTCTCCAACAGATCCATCTGCTTCCAAACTTCTTTTTCTTCTTCTGTAAAAACCTGTGCAACCCTCCTCCATCCACCACCACAGGATTGATACCAAAACTTAGATTTGCTTGCAAAAATAATAAATAGGAAAAGAAGCGACAAAATAACCCTGTCAATGAATGATTACAGGTTAAATTTTCTGGAATTCTTCGCCTTCCCATCATGCCTTGAGGCAGTGAACTTACTGTAGCCCACAGCCATTTGTTCGTGTGTGAAGAAACTGAAGCATCCCTTGTTTATCCACAAACAAGAAAACATTGTAGTCATCTAGCCAGAATATGCACATATACAAGACAGCAGACACTGGCATATTTATACCCAAAACACCACACTCTGGAAAATATGCAACCAGGGAGAGAGAGAAAGATCATAATTTGTCACCTCCAACAAGCAGGTTCTAGGATCACAGTTTTTGAGCTGGAAAGGACCATGGAGATGTAACTCCAACCCTACTCTTTCATTTCCTAACTGAAGCAGATACTTTCCAAGGAGAAGAACTGAGCTCCTGAAGGTCACCCAGTGCTGTCCAAACGCAGTCTTCTGACTCCAAGTTAGAGTCTGTGCAAGGACTGCCCGTTAGGGTTTCTGTCCTGCATTAGTGAGGGTGCATTCTCTAGAGCAACAGTTCTCAACTGTGGATTGCGACCCCTTTGGGGGTGGAGTGACCCCTTCACAGGGGTCGCCTAAGACCACAGGATTTCAGATATTTACATTACTATTTACAACAGTAGCAAAATCACAGTTTTGAAGTAGCAATGAAAATAATTTTATGGTTGGGGTCAGCACAACAAGGGTTACAGCATTAGAAAGGTTGAGAA